TCTCTGCAAAGTATTGAGGTCTGTAATTCCTTTTCCTCTCGTAATGCTCTTCGTCAAGTAGAAATTCAAGCTCTTGCCTTGAAACCTCAATGATGTTAGCTTGCTGCCAGGCTTTCTTGATCAAATCCCTTGTTTCATCACGTGATCTCCACAGGGGCAATGGCAGATTTAAGTCAAAAAATATAAGACCACCAAACTTCTTTGACAATGTAATTGCTTTAAAAAGAGTAGAACGCATAGATGAAGATGTCAAGACTTCAGAATTAAAGTGGAACATCCTAGCCTGCAAAAGAGAAAGCAAAAGCCCCACGAAATTTGTTAATAATAGTTTCCCAACATCACCCTGACACAATTTGTTGAAGCATGTAAGTTCCGGAAAGGATAAAACTGATAGAAGACATATTCTTCTCCATAGTGGAGGTTCAAGCACTGTATTAAAAATATCCATCATGAATTCAACATCTTACTTCTGGTTCATAACAATCGAAAAAAACAATTTCCCTACCGAACAAGAGAATGAAAACTGATAATATATTGAATCACTTTTCAGCTTTCACTATTGAAGGATCAGCCAGTCTGAAGCTAAAAGACTTATGGTTTCAGGAAGACGAGTAACTAGTCAAGCATGAAACAACAAAGCAATATTACTACTCCAAAATATAACTAGTTGTCAGGACACTAGATTTTTTTAATGATAGGTAACTACACTTTCACTACCTCGCAACTAAAAGGAGTATATACGATTAGCACAAGTCAAACTCAAATAAATAAATTGACGAGAATTATGCATCTTTAGTCAATTGGTTCTACAAAACAAATGTGTCATTGCAAAGAAATGTCATCAGAGTGAAGAGATCAAGCAAACTTCAGAACTGGAGAGAGCAATAAAACTGTTAACGACTGCACAATAGTGTCTACTGATAAATAGTGAGCTTCTCCAGCAGTCTGACTTCAATATACCTACTAATAATCATTTATGGGAAATTTTAGTGTTACTCTCTACATTCCTATGTGTGATGATGGAGATAGAGTACTTGGAATCAGCAGAATTCCAAAACTAACAACTACGAAACGAACTGGTTTCACACTGGGAGAACAAGACCAAGAGCAACGACTCCAACGGTTCAAAGGATATCTTAAGAAAAGCAGCCATGGGGTTCTTTCATAAGCCATTTTGCACAACATAGTTTAATACCAATACGGTTCGTTCACGTAGCAAATTAGATTCATGCATCCTCTATTAACATTTAAAGCAAAACACCACTACACAAATAGAAACAACAACATGCTTAATCTATCCATAAAAAAAAAATCTATCTTTACTTTTAATAACAACTTGTCTTTCACTTCCACATACCTCTTTCAGAACATCAAGATTCAATTCGGAGCTAAGCAGTGAATCCTCAGCAGAGTCTTTAACTTTCTCCACCCTCATTTTCCCATCTTTAAACTTAATTTTCATATAACTACATCCAGTCCTCATACTATCACTAAATTTGACAGACCTTGTTTGCACATTTTCTTTATTCATTAACAAAACCATTTCTTGTCCAAACTCATCATTCCCAACTTTCCCCATAAATGCAGCTCTACCACCAAGCCTAACATGAGATATAGCAACATTAGATGGAGGTCCACCAGGAGCTCTAACAAACTCAGGTGGATTCCACTGCAACATTTTCCACTCTGAATACTTATCTTTATCCATTTGCTCAGGTGATACTCTCACTGATGGCACAAACTCCTTCTGTGCTGCACCAAAACAGCAGACCAAAGGTGGGTTTGGGTATGGAAAATCAACCCCATCATCATAATCATCAATTTCTTCCATTTGGGTGTTGGATTCTGCAATATTGATATCAAAGTTTGAATCTTTTGGGGTTCTTGATTTTCTTGAAGTTGTGGGGGTGGATGATTTTTTACGGCCACGGCGAGAGGGGGTAGGGGGTTCTTGGGTGGTGGTGGGGTGGTCATTGGTGGTGGACTTGGGTGGATTTGTTCTACAGGGAAATTTGGAGGAGGAGAAGAAAATGGTGGGGTATAGTGAATTGTGAGAATGATGATGAGGAAGAGATTGTGGAAGAAAATGGATTGTTGCCATGGTGTTCTTGGTATGTGTTAGGGTTTATCCCTATCTTCTCCATGCCATTGTTCAAAGAGAATTTGAGGTTTTGACTTCCATTCGGGTTTGGATAATTTGACCCGATTGTTTTGACGGGTAGTGACAGTCGGGTCGGGTTCATAAATTTTATTTTGGGCCTAGTTAAAGCAATTGATTTTGGAAAAAATATAGAAATCTCTATTCTCGGATACATCACTTTACGTAATGTAACGGACGGATACATCACTATATGTGATGTATCAGGACGTAATACATCACTTTACGCTATGTATCGGTCGGATACATCATTTTACGCGATGAATCGATCAGACATATCACTATACACAATGTATCAGGACGTAATACATCACTTTATGCGATATACATCACTCTACGCAATGTACCGGAACATACGCGAGGAATCGGGATGACTTATGTTTGAAAAAGAAAGGACAAAAGGGTCAAAAACAAATTTGGTTTATTAGTTGACTATGCCCTTACTGCTAAAATGAAGTTATTCTTCCCCCTATCGTTTACAAACCTGTCACCCGTACCCCTCAATTGGATGAAAAATCTCAAATTAACAAAAATAACCTAATTTTACTTAAATTACTCAATTTAAACCCGACCCGACCCAGGTTAAAATTAGGTAATTTAAGTAAAATTAGATTATTTTTGTTGATTTGGAGTTTTCTATCCAATTGAGGGGTACATGTAATAAGTTTGTAGACGGCCTGTGTAATAATAACTTCATTTTAATGATAAGAGCATAGTCAACTAATAAAACAAAATTGAGTAATATTTTTAAACCTTTGTTAATCAACAATTTAAATTGAACAAATATTTTTTTCTAGTCATCTGGTAAAATAGGTTTCAATAAATAAGTAATTAGTTTTCAATGACATACAATGTCACCAACATTAACTAACTGCAACAATTTTTACTATACTAACTACAATATTCCTTTCAATTTACAATATAGTATTTAGTCAAATTACTTCATATAAATTGGAACAAAATGTATGAAATAGTTTTAATTAATTAAATTTTGTAACACTCTTAGAATTTAAGAACTAATATTGTGATATAAATTTTGATTTATCTCAAATAAAGATATTTGAGAAAAATCATGATATATTTAATCTAACAACCAATTTAACAGTCAAAGTCAATTAATTTCGTATTCTTAGAATTTAAGAAATAATATTGTGATGTAAATTTTGATTTATCTCAAATAAAGATATTTGAGAAAAATCTTGATATATTTAATCTAACAATCAGTTTAACAGTCAAGATCAATTAATTTCGTATTAGGATCAAGATAATATCAAAATCATGACACCACAATAAATTATTACAATCTAATATAATAATTTCTCCACTATAATTAATTCTATATGTACAATATTTACTTAACAAGACCCCTCAAATTTATAGTTTTTTAATTTATTCAATCAATTTTCAAATTTATAATTTATGACATGTTAAATTTTTTCTTATATAAAGGTTTGTGATTTGCCTCTATGTATCTCACCTCATTCTTTCACATTTTTTCTACACTTCTAATCTATAAGATTTTGTTTGTTTATTTTGATTTTAATCAAACTCGTAAACTCTTAATTCACCATGTCTGATTCTTCTTCACCTCCAATGCTTATATATAATAATTGTTTTTCAATTGATAACTTGAATTCTTCTAAGCTTGGAGGATGTTACCAACAATAACGTCAGGTCAATCACCAAGAGGACACCTTTTTCACCTAGGTATACAACTTAAATTTTATTTTTTTGTTATTTTAACATATATATAATATATATATCGTGAAAATCAAATCACTCTTTCTCCAATATTACAATTTGTATTGCTCTCTTTGTTTTTATATTCAACTAACTCTAAAATTTTCACTCTCTAATATATTTCGTGGATTCTAGCGCTGAGAAGAAATCAAAGGGTTGGAAAGAATCTTTCGAAAAAGGATGGGATAGATGAAAAGAAAAGAAGGCCAAGAAAAATATCGAAGTCTATAAGATTATGAACGATTATTTCTTAAGAACCGACTCAAAAATTGTCTAGACATGGTTGAAATCTCAAGTTTTTTGTAAGAAAAAGAAGATCATGAATTATTTAACGAAGGATGCAGATGAAAAATCTAATTATTTTGGATCAATTTTACTGTTTTTCATTAGTAATAGAAGTTTTCATTATGTATTGTATGAAATGGATATATAATATGGTATGTTCACCTTTTTGAATATTTAACTATTTGTAGTATGAAACTGAGGCATACAAAATGGTCTTTTTTTTTTATGTGTTTACAAACTGATATACATAGCCTTTTTGTACCAGTTATATACAAACTGGTGTACATGTTTCAAAGAAATAGATCTTGATTTAATCCTATTTCAAAAGTTAGTTCAAGAAGTAAGAATTACTTAAGTGATATACAGAGATCACTCCGCCCTCGATGTAAGGCTCTTTGGAAGTTACAAACTTTATCAGGCTCATTTCACTTATAAATATCCTTTAAATGATCGGATAGTGTAAATACGAATGAATAGATGGAGTTTTTTTGTAATGGGGAGGGGGTTGCTATCGCTAAACTTTGAATTTAGACTCAAAGTCATTTCTTCACTTGAAATCGTAGTAATCCAACATGTTTATAATATTGATGCAATTTTGATCCACCCTACTAAACATAGCGACGCTTAACATTCCATGCACTAAATTGTGGATAAACCCGATGTTAAAAAAAATACAAAGATACTAGAAAGAAAAAAAATACATAGAAATTTGGTAACATCAAAATCAATAGACAATTTATGAACTACCAACACTTGTGTCTACCAATCTGAAGCTGTATTTTAATGACCATACCATTGAGCAATTAGTTAGCAGAATTACACTTTGGATAGTAAATCATTAAATTACAGCTACACAACATAACAAGAACAAAAAGCACAAAACTTAACAAAGATGATTTACATAACCAACAAAACTAAATTCCCACTTCAATCAAGTTTACCTAATTCTTAACCTTACCATCTTCCATAGCTTTATCTACAACTACTATGAACTTTTTGTACTCGTCGAATTCCTTGTTATGAAGTTCCATTACTGCAGGATGATCCTCTGGTGCCACTGGCCTTCTACTCCCTAACACAGTCCACACAATCACAACAAGTAATGCCCCTAATGCTCCACATCCCGTACCGAAAAGCAATGCACCAAGAATCCTCAAAGCACAATCACTTCTGCTGTGAACTTTCATCTCTTCTTTTTTCTCAACAAATGCTTGTGGATCTAATGGTTCAGAGTGCATCCAATGAGGTGCAGTCCTTGTGTTAAAGCTCAATGAATAGATGTTGCATTTCTGAGTAGAATTCCCACTTGAAGAACTTAACCCCACAAACAATTCATCCTCTTTCCACATTTGTGACATGTCAATAGGGCAAGAAAGCAATGTATCAACTGGCTTAATGTCAGCTAATTTGCTCAACCTGATTTCCAATCTCTTTGAACTTGCTTCATAATCAATCCAAGATTGCATCTTTTCACCACTATTCATTAGCCCCAATTTAACAGAACTAACATTACTCACTTTCACAGATATAAAGCTGCTTAAATCAACACCAACATGGTTTTCATTCACATCACCATATTTCTCATCCATAAATGTATCAAATTCTACAGCAAGAAACTTCATTTTTCTATCACCCAATAGCCCAAATGAGCCACCATCAAACACATCAAAAGGATATCCAATAGGTACCATCACAAAAGCAAATCCATCCCCATTTTCTCTTGACAATGAAAACACAAAATGTAATGAAAAAGACACCATTTTTCTTGGATTTCCTTCAATTAACTTAAAGGGTTTCTTTTTCAAGATTCTTCCAGCACTAAAACCCACTGAACCACTCATTTGTATACCACCATTAACAACCTTAGCATCACCATAAAGTGCAATCTGAGACTCAAAGTTTGAATCTTTACCAAAATCCACAAAACCAAATGACATTTTTTCCTCAGATTGGATAGTTCTGAAGTAAAAACAGAAGATAAATAACACCATAAGATACCTGGAAGCTGACAAAGTACCCATTCTTGATCTTGGCTTAACTTGAGCTAGAAAAGCTGTTAACTTTGTATTCTTTTTTCAGCTGAGACTTACCAAGATTTCTTCTTAAATGAACCCATGTAGAGATTTTCTAGAAAGATGAAATTTTTATATGATTTTGAGGTATTTATCTTAAAGAATTTCTAGGGTTTGAGATGAGTATTGAGAAAGGAGGAGAGGGGAATTGCTTGGGAAAATGGGTAAAGAGAGGTTGGTGAGTGATGGGGGGGTGGTGGATTTGGCTTTGAAGATTGTGAAAATTGAATAAGTTTTTACTCTTTTCTGCAACTATACTGATACACTTTCCTTCAATTGATTGCTTATTTGAGGGAATATAAAATGATATTCTTTATGATAATTGTCCTCCTTTCTTCTCATATTGTCATATCTAGTCCTCCTATGTTGTAAGATTTTACTTTGTTAATCACAAAACAATACAATAACAAAATATGCTCGGTATGATCTCAGAAGTATATCGAGTTAATTTATCGGTAATCTCTAGTTAATTTGTTGCTAAAATGCTTTTAGTTAAATAATTCTTCTTATAATCTATCGTTAATTCGTAGCTAAATAAAATTAGTATGAGGATTTTGTTGTTTAGCTATGAAATTTCTTCCTACGCTAATTTCTCATTTCCTAGTAATTATATATGCAAACCTATCCTTATTTATTTTCGATAAATCCAAACAATTCTTTTATATAATAATGTGCAAGTTTTCCCCTTATGTAATAGAAGAATTGAGCTTACTAATGAACTAGTTATTCAAGCGTTAGTAATTGTTTGTTTGAATTTCATCTTGCAATTGGAAGAAGATTGATTTAGAGCAGTTTGTCTTATAACATTTGATCAGTAAATTACGTAGAACTTCACATAAATTTTGACTTTAGTGGCCAAAATAAGTGGATAAAAACAATCTGAGACTTGAGTTTAAAAGTCAAGTGAGATGTTAAAAAGAAAACATATATTTTGACCTTTTTTTTCTGCATAGAAAAATTTAGAGTGTAATTATGTAATTTAAGAGAATTAGATGACCCACATAAACACTAATTGGATTTAAGTAAATCAATTTACAATTATTAGTTTTTGACACAAGCATCTATTTTGTCCATAAACTTTTTCCTTCTAAGCATTATGTATTTTTTATAAAATATCATAAACACAATGATTGCATAAAGATATATGAAGGGCATGTTAAGTAGTGCAAACAAAAACACAGAAAAAGAGGTAGTAAAATTACAAAAGTACAAAGTACAAGGGTGATTTGAGTAAATATGGAGAAAATATGTAATTGCTAAAAAGACCCACATACTTTACAGCCATAGAATAAGAAACATAGCTGGCACTGAAATACCAAGAGGTCACAAGCTTTATGCTTCTACATTTTTTTTATTGTGTTTAAAAAAATTATTTAAGGTGTAATAAGAAATTTATTAATTTTTTTTACTTATAATTATCTTATTTTACTTCTACTCAATTTATCTGACACATTTTTTTTTAAAGTTAGTTTTAAGAAAATATCATACTTTTACATTTAGAAATAATTTAGTTTTACTCCTAATAAAATAACTTACATCAAACAAATGTCGAAATGTAAGAAAAATAAATCTTGTCTAACCGTTAAGATATGAGGATTGATAAATTAAGAAGGTATTTGATAAATATTTTTACATCCACTAATTTATATTTCTTCTGTTTCAAAGATGTTTTTAGTTTTTCATTTTTGTTTTAAAATAAGTGATATTTTACAAAATTAATAAAATATTTTTGTTCTTTCAATTTCACCCTAATTTTAATAAATAAAATTATACATAACTAAGAAATACTTTTTTCTCACGGCATTTGATTAAAAATAAGTTAGTAAAATTACTCTTTACTTTTTAAGGGTGAATAACTTTTTTAAAACAACAACCATAACATGCTAATGAAAGATAATAAAATGTATGCAGACTTTATCACTATCTTGTGAAGATATATTCAAACGAAAAATATCACTTATAATGAAATGGAGAGATCGGAACTTTGTCTTTCTTGGTTCTTTATTTTTTGTTTTTTTTTTTTACTTGAGAAGTTGTGTTAATTAATGAGTTGAAGCTTTTTAAGTAAATAATTTATTATTTGAGGGGGAAAAAAAAGGTTTTTGGGTGGCTAAAAAGCAAGAGATTCTTTTCGTTTTTATGTTGGCAAAAAGTGTTTTACTGTATTGTGGACTGTGCCAACTTTGTATAAACCTTTTTCTTTTCTGACCCAAAAAATAAATTCTATAGTATATGTGAGCATGCCTTATCTTCTCCTTCTTCTATAAACAACGGTCTATTTCTATACATATTTGGACTATATAGTATACTATATAATACCATGCAATATATTTATTATAAAAACTTATTTTTAGAACATCAAAATCAGATAACTATCATAGAATATATGTGCATTACTTGTTTAATATTATAAAGTTTAAATGCCTTTTATGCATACAGAAAATTGAAAGACATATATTTTAATTGAGATAAAGTCAAAATACATATTTATGTAGGGGTGTTCAAAATTGAACCGTAATCGATAAGTCAACCGTAAAATTGACTAATTGGCCTATTGATATTGGTTATCGAATAAACGGTTGGTGAATGGATTAGAATTTTATAATTAACGGCTTATTGGTGTGGAGGTAGATTATTTAATTTCTTTATCAGCTAAATCGTTAACCCGTTAAGAGTTACCATACTTACACTTTTAACTTAAGTATATTAACATCATTTAATATTTCCCCATAATATATAATTATATATTATTAGTCTGAAGGTCGTAAAGCCAAAAACTTGAAAACCTATACTTTAAATTAGGACAGAAGAAGTAACATATAATATTATTAAAAAATTATGCAAAAAATATTAGAAATGATTATTAGTAACAATTTTAAATACTTATAAATCATATTAAAATTTAATCAATTCTTAAAATTTTTAACCGTATTACATAAATTAAGATAAAAATTAACATATATTAAGCCCGTGGAAGCGGTGACGGTGAGAGTAGACAGCTAAGCAAAGTGGACCTCTGCCGTGAAAGAGACGATTGACTGTCGATATTTAACGAACTTCGCTTTGGCTTAAAATCATTTTTGTGGTTATCTTCCTGTCACAACTCCTTGTCATTATGGAATATACTTTTTTATATAATTTTTCTCATTATGAATTTTATTTTTTATTTTTCTCATATTTTTTACAAATGTTTTATTTATAAAATGTTAAAATAGAGTTTTTGTACATTTTCGTTAATCCATGAAAATGATTATTTAAAAAATAAGTGATTCTTACTTAATTCCAGATATTTCGTAAGTAATTAAGTATAAAGTATTGTCTCCAGAGCTAGCTTTATATATAATCCATGGACAAATATTATTTATTTTTTATTTACACCTTCACATAAGCTTTCGTCTTTTTTTTTCTTTCTTTCTTAATGACTCGAACCCATAATTTTTGAGTTGGAGGTGAGGAGTACTGATTACTATTCGAGCGACTCCATCTTGTCTAGGCACAAATACTATTAATGTGGGGTTGGATAGACTACAGAATGAGAAGAAGACTTGTTTTTCTAAAGAAAATATATATATTTTTCAAAACATATTAACCAATTGAATTATGAAAAAGTTATATAGATTATAAACTTACTGTTTACATTCTAAATTCTCTGAAAATTTTATGTATACATTTGTACGTACCATCATAAATTAGATTCTTTGTAATTATATATAGGAGTTACGTTGTTCATGTGACATTATTTATTGACAAACCATGAGAGACATTTATTTATTTTGATGTGATAACTCAACTACCCAATCGATTAACTCTATTGCAATGTAAATGCATCAAATTATACTATGCATTTAAGGTGCCTTACTTGTTACGATAGGTAAATCCTACAATCCCTTTGACTTGGGGCGGATGTACATGTATAGTATAAGTTTATAACGAAGTTTCAATTTAGATTTTGTATATCTATGTTATAACTATAGTAAATAGATACAAATAATATGTTTTCAATCGAAAAAAATTAAATGTGTTTTGAGTTTATAAACTTTTACTATCATAAATTTAAATCTTAAATATGACTATGTACGTTGCTGATAGTTACTCCATGTGGTCCATTTGTATGCGAGTTTTTTCTTAGCTTGAGCACACACCCTTAAGAAATTCATTTTATCTCCAAAACAAAAAGAGAAGGTAATAGGTCAAACAAATTGAAGCGGAAGAAGTACCTATTAATTAGTATGATTTTTTTATTACATAAAAAAATCAACTTATCTAAATAAAATATTTTTCAAATTTTTTGATGTTTTAAAAGGAAATAGAATAATTTGATCAAATGCTCATAGCTATTAATAATATCTAAACCTTTGATGACAAATATTTACTCCATATAGACCAAAAAAAAGTATTTTCAAATCGATAGCCTTAGATTAATCAATTATATATTAATTAATACGCAATCGATCGAATACTACTCTGAAACGGCTTATCAAGGTAGAATAAAGTCAGAAAATGTAAATATTAAACGACAATTATAATTATTTGCCTTCTTTTGGTTGCATGTAATAACACGTTAGTTATTATACAGAGAAAGGGTCACAAAATTGTTAATGGGACAATAAGTGGAGGTCTCTTTGGGTCCCTCTACCACTGGTCTAATTTAGAAATAACACAAAGCCTGTGATTGTGGGTCAACTCCGAAGGGCGGAGCCAACTTAGTCGAAGGGTGGTTAGCTATATATATTTTATCAAAAAATTATATAATATATTAAGGTTACATATTAGGTATTATGAATGTAAATTTAATTCCGAAATTTTATAGTCAAACGCCCACTCAGACACTCAGTAGACAGTACTAGTTGTATTTACTTTCACTTTAGCAATATTTATCTTTAAAAAAATTCTCTTTTTACAGAAAGCATCCAAAAATAAATTCCTTTTGTTGTCCTAATAACTTCACATTGGCATTACATGAAAACATTATTTTAGGTTCACATGATCCACTAAGTAATGTCACTTTCTTTATTTATGTCTACTGTTGTTACCATTGCCCATCTTATAAGTTATAAATAATTATTATTGGGAAAAAAACAACTTGGGTCATAGTTTTTTTTAACCCATATAATTTTTACTTAGATATTGTTTTTTTGACTTCTCCAATATGGCCAATTCTTAATCATTTGTATATCATTGTGAATCAAATGTTAAAAAGGGAAAAAAAGTTTTTCAAATGAGACAATTCACGCAATTCACCATAGTAAAGCAGACAAAGGTTCAGAATTTGAGTGTTTTGCCACCACTTATTAACAGTGGAGGTATTAGGAGATTCAGTTAAAATATTGTGTTGTTCAACTCTTTGAGGTTCTTGTTTACCAAGATTAGAGATTATATGAACACACTCATATAATTTTAAAAAATGTATGTCGTGTTTTACGATCATGTGATGTGACTATCGGACGTGGCTGAATTTTATCCATCTTATAATTGTATTGGAGCTTTCTACAAAAGGAACAAAAACCTATTGATTCCGAATTTTAAAGGTAAAAATTTATTTGTACTCGATGTTTATACCGTTTTACATCCAGCACGGGTTGAACCCTTGACTTCACCTATTGATCTTAATCGTTTTTTTTCTAAAAAGCTATTTCTAATAAATAATAATGTATACTCCTTTTTAAGATTTTAGTTCCATCCATTTTGCACTTGTCAAACACAAATTTGGATTCAGGATTGAAGTTTATGATTTCCTATAACAACCTCGCAAGCTAACAATTAGGTTCACCATCAAATATTTATAAAAGTGAAACAAAAACTATTGAGTTCACGCGAACCATCATACCTGAGCAAAAATATACAACTATAGTTTGGCATAAATGATGTCATAGCATAGAAAACTAGTACTTTGTACTTGTATTAATTTACCAAAACAAAGTAAACAAAAGTGGGGATGGAAAAAGAAGAATAAATTGTATGTATCAAATGGGATAACCTACATTTTAGGTTAGCACTAGTTAAGTTGTCTCTTTCTCTTGCTACTCTTATGAAAATGATAAAAACCAACCACTCCTATCCTATATACACTATTAAATACATGGAATTACCAACTAAATTTGTTAGTAATTCCCAGCTAATCCGTCGTTAAATAGATCTCAACCAATTGTATTTTCTTATAATACATCGCTATTTGTAGCTAAATGGATTAACATGAGATTTTTGTTGTTTAGTAGTTTCTCTATTATATATTATATAAGAGCGGCACATAATATTCTCTTGATATATAAGTTTCTCACAAGACAGACATTTCTAGAGAACATTAAACCTAAAATATTATGCTAAATAAGACTAAATCTTAACCTCAACTAGTTAGTATTTCTAGAAACTTTGTCCATCTAGGGCTAGCGTTTGTACCTTTTTTCATAAAGTTATTCGATATTCATTTTAAGACCTGATTAAATTTTCTTACACCAAAAAATCTCACTTTGAAGGGTAAAATGTATCCTATCGTAAAGCGATTTCGTATTCAAAGTAACTTGTTATTTCATCAGAAAGTTTGATAGTTAAGTTCTCTCATTAGACTTGATAATCCATTTTAACTCTTATTTCATTACTAGTGTAACAAAAGGATTGGCTAGATTTTTAGTGGATGAAAAATTAAAAAAGAATATTGAAAAGCAAAAACTTTTCTGTGAACTTTCAAATTTCATGATATGGACAAATCATAGGTGGCCTATTAATTGTTTTTTAAACAGGTGGAGAGTGGACCAGCAGTAGCCCTTTTTGGTTATACTTCAAAATAGGAAAAATTATCTAAATAAATAATTTATTTATATTTTTTAAAATTTTTCTATTATTTGAAAAAATTACAAAAATTTCTACTCTCTCATATTCTCGGATACATTACTTTACGCAATGTATCGATCAAATACATCACTTTATGCGATGTATCTAAACGTTAAGTGATGTATTTAGATTCAAGACGCAATGTATCAAGTAATTGAGGCATGTATTTGAAACCGGGATGCAATGTATCAAAACGTTTTGAAATGTACATACGGATTTTTGTAATTTTCAAAAAATTAGGAATAAAATATAATAAGCTCTAAACACGGTAAAATTCTCAAATAAAATACTACTGTGCCCTAAAATTATAAAGTGGTGCCACTTCTTATCCTTTCTTTTGCTTTCCCCCATTCTTTTGGTCAATCACAAAACTCCACTAACAAGGCAATGACACCACCTTTGAGATGAAAAAATGAATTACTTTTTACATACTTCAATCAAGCTTTACGATAACAATAACATACTCAATATAATCTCATAGGTAAAATCTTAAGAGGGTAGTGTATACACAACTTTACCACTACCTTATGAAGGTAAATATATTGCTTTCTATAGATTCTTAACTCAAGTAAAACATATCAAAATCAGTAAGAAAAACAAACGATATTTAATAAACCAACTCAATAAATATAGTTAAACATAGTTAATTGATTCTTATTCTAACTTCAGTTTCATTGCTAACCATGGTAAAGTAAGATATTCCAATATAAACATCAAGTGCGGATAAGTTTTTCTGATTCAAAGTAAGTCAAATATTAGTTTTACCCTTCTTGACTTATTTTTGTACATAAAATATGAAGTTTGATATTGTTCCTTTGTTCTTTATTGGAACTTAGTTAAACCAGAATTGACTGTAATATACCTTGAACATAAATTAAATGAGATGATTAAATCAACTTTTCCAGATTTATTGAATCTTGGAACACAATTACAATTGTGTCACACTTGAGATCAAAACATACCTTGCTATATACCCTGCATTAAATTCCATAATTCCAATTTGAGATCAGCACATACCTTGCAATAAGGATCATAACAATCCACAACACTACACAACCGTAGACGTTCTGATACCAATTGATATGAACTGAAGGATATATTGAGGTACGAGGGAAAAAGCTATATAAACACGGTTCAAGTAGTCCCATACTTAGGATGATGGACTAAACTCCGATAACTTGCAACTAATTTCATAACAGATTGACAGGCTTCAAATACAGCCTACAGAGATCTTGGAAAAAACACGAGTTTGTTCATCCACAAGGAAAATATAATACAAGACAGCTTCCATTTATGAAAGCTGCAAAGAAGATTTTTCATCCTCTTTTATTTGACACATTCATGCATAACTTCAAGTAGCTTCACACAGACATTTGATCTGCAAACGAATGTTCATTCTTCAGCAACAGTACACTCATCAAAATTGCAGCAGTTTGATACCCAAGTTAACTCTGGAATCCCTTAGGCAAATCAGCTTAATCCATGGCTTAGCTTTAATCACTTGCAGACCTTTGCTCTAATATCACGCTGCCTACTGTTGACTCATCATAAAATTTTGCTTGTCCCTGAAGTCAAATTCAATTGTAGTAATGCAATAGAAATCATCATGAAGCAACAAATCATTTATGATGGAAGATAGGTAAATATACTGCACTAAAGAATATATGCCCTTTGTATATGTTGTATGGCAAGATGGAGAAATCTTCAAAAGTTAGAGAGCTCTAAAGCAACATCGGAGGACTATTACAGTCTTATAAGTAGTTTTTTGGTAGGTCTACTATTTATTTTACCATTTGGAAGTTCAACCAGCTTGTATGTGTCATTTTTCTATAGAGATTCATCTCTTTTTCTAAGAAAAACTGGTAGGTTGTATTTCTCAACATACAGACCTCAAAAAAGTTATCAACAGAGAGCTATGAACCAAGGGCTACTTATAGAGAGCCTAGAAGATGGCATCCTCTACAATTGCTTCTTTACACCAAAGATGAAAATTTACAATACAATTCCACTTAATTTTCTGCAAAGTATTAAATCTATCCTCAAAACACCTCCCATTTCTTTCCTTCCTTACTAAGAGAAATACTTGATTTGGATGGCACAAGACATTTACAAAGCTTTGTCCATGGACCTGTTCTGTCTCCTGGTTGCCCCAAAACTTCCAATTTATACACTGTTAAATAGAGAACCTCCCATCATTGTTATGTTTCTACTTGATTGCATTTGGGGCTGGGAAGTGCCTCTTAACTTATCAACTTCCTTCAAAAGATCAACCACCCTATCAGTTTTCCAGTCATTAAGGTTCCTTTTGAAGCATATATTCGACCCTCAAGGAGTCCAAGAGTCTGCCACAGCAGCGAAGCGCTTCAGGGTTGCTGCATATGGAAAATAAATCAGGGAAAAAAGTCATCAAAGGTACTTGCTCATTCCAGGATTCCTTCCCCAACATAGTCTTTGTGCCATCACCCATCTTATAGACAACATGTTTGTTAAGACTAGACCATAAATTCCTGATAGTCCTCCAAACTGATACATTATAAGTGTTGACCACTTCATCAGTGCACCATTGGCTTGTCTGTCCATATTTGTTCAGGATCACCTCCTTCCATAACCACTTCACCAATAGACAACTATTGAGTAATTTCAGATTTCTGATACCAAGACCCCCTGATTCTTATCAAGTTGAAATCATCCCATTTCACAAAATGAAAACCCCCATCCTCCTTATTTCCATTCCATAGAAAGTCCCTTCTGAGCTTGTCAAGTTTATCTAGCAGCCCAACTGGAATAGGAAACATAGACATCACACAAGCATGTAAGGAATCTAATACAGCATTTATCAAAAACAATCTAATTCCTATTTCCACTTTGAAAGTTCCATGTCTGTCTTCTCTATAATCTCATCCTAGATAATTAACTCCTACTGTTTGTTGCCCAGAGGCATGCCTAAGTAGGTTGTGGGAAGCTATTCAATCTTGCACCCCAAAATCCCAGCCAGCTCCTTCATTTGGACCACTTCTTTAATAGGGAAAATATTGATCCTCCTCCAATTGACACTTAACTCCAAAATAACCTAAAAAATGAGTAAGATCATCCTTATAAAGCTGACTTGTCCTGCTTCTGGATCACATAAAATCAGTGTTATCAGAGGTGTGCTTAAGCCCTGAAGCGAGGCTCAAAACATGTTGAGCGTTTCACCTCGTTTAATGTGCGCTTCAGTGTCGTCATAAAGGTTAATACATACTTTTCCTTGCCAATGAACCTCTTCTGAATAGACGACACTAAACAATTGATATTTCACTTTATCGTAATTATTTTTCTATATTTCTTTGTTCATATATTTGTCATCCATGTTAATAAATTATTAGTCTTGGACTAAACATATAATCTCCATCACACATTGCATTCTTTGGCCAAAGAAAGAATGCCAGTCAATCTTTTTGGCACATGGCCATTTTATCACATGAGGAAGGACGCCACGAATATGAAATATTAAAGCAGACAGTGTAAAATATATCAGCATGGGGCCAAAAGAATATTTGGAGAAGAATTAGAAAAGAAGAAATCACGCGAACACTAGGATAACAACTACTTATTTCAAACTAGCCTGGTATTCCCTAGGTACACCATTATCCTGGTAAGACATCACATCTTTTTTCAGTAAGCAGATGCATCTTCTACATACATACAATGTGAACCTTGAGTGAGGACACCAATATTTTTTTAAATAGTGATCACTCAGAGCAAGACTTACCATCTCAGACAAAAAGGTATCCACAGCCTAAACAGGTCAGCCAACCTCTGCTACAATATCTTTGACATCTATATCAGCTAGAGTCTCCTTGCCAAACAGAGAAAATCCAACAGTTGCCTGCAAGAAAATTCCACATTCAATGTCAAGAACAAACTTTGCTTTTTCGGTTGGCTTGGGTGAAGTAACAGAAGAACAGTCTCATATAGAAAATGGAAGATACAGTGTAGCGAGAGCAATTAGCACCAATAAGCTTTCAAACTGTACAGGAGAATGGAAGAGGCCCAAGAGGGCGGGGGAGCTTGATGTTAGGAACAATTGAAGACATAAGCTGTTATTAACTCAAATTTTCTCCTTTTTTGACTGAACTCCAGGATTTTTATAACTATGCTTTCCCTTGCCCACTATCCCCTACCCCGAAATAACACAAGGATAGTGTTCTAGGCATACCAATCCTGCCTTGCTATCAACCTTCTTGAGAATCCCTGAAAATCCTGCAAAGGCTCCGGACACAACTTCAATAGTTGACCCTGGTATTAAAGATTTATCATCCGATCCTCTCAACACATCAACTGCAAGCAGGTCTAAAGCTTTTTTAGATTGCCTTCCTCGTGTTTTGGGCACAACTTTGTCATCAAGGGGAGCTATACTAGAGTTTTTTGTCAGCTGGGAATCTAAACCTCCTTCTCCTTGTTCCTCTTCTTCAAAAGCTTGATCAGCTTTCTCTTGCTCTTCCTTCGCTTGTTTGAATATGGCCTCCAGGTCATCCTCATCAACAGGTCTGGGTTTATTGATCGTCCGTTTTCTGCAAATGTTCTACACTTTAAGTAACTGAGAAAAATAAAAAATGACCTCGGGTATGTTGTAAGTTAGCCCTTTAAATAATAAAATGGGTATGTAGACACAAGTAACATAAAAGTCATATCAAGGGAGACCAAATGGTAGATATCAACTAAAGGCAGTTAGTAAATAGATATCCTTGCAAAATTCACTTGACCTATTGGCATAAAATTTGGTAAGTATTCTGAAATTTTGTCAAGCAGAAATAGCATTCATCACTAATCTCACAGAAAGACCTTATAGTAGCTGACTGAATAAACACATTTACAAGCTACACAAAATTAGATTGGGAGTGATTTTTAAGTAAAAATTTCTGAACTTAGGCCAACACATTTTATAAGCTACACACAATTAGAGTGTAGGTGATTTTTAAATAAAAAATTCCAATCTTAGGCCAAGTTAGCTTAGGATATTTTTCCACTCATCTTATGTTAATATTTTAATTGACATATGTTCCATTGGGTCAGACACATACACCATGGGTCTTTGTTCGTATAAAAGACAGAGTTCCCAGAGGTCAAAGAAAATCGCATTGACATATCAAACAAATCAAAGACCTCCTCTTTCTTGACTGAGTAGAAATTGTAATCTTTCTTTATAACCATGTTATCCAGGACAACTTACACACACCTCGACTATTTCCAGGGGTACCTGCTACCTCTCACCAACACATGTATTGGGTAACGCTGTCCAACACAGATGATAAGAAGTAATACTTGTAAACTTGTGATTTGTGATAGGGGCAACAATGAATGCTTACGTATTTCCAACCTTGGATCCAACAAAGCCTCCAATTCCAGTACATTCTCGAATGAAATCATGTATTTCCTTGTTCAGTACGCATCTCAGAAACACACATCCTGGGAAAAGGGGTTTAGGCTTAATTGAAAGTGTTCCATTTTTTAATTTCCTTTTGATTTGTACAGATGGATTGTATACCTGCAGAAACTTTTACAGTCAGTCAAAACTCAAAAGATATTGAAAAACCAATTCCTACATTAGTTAAATACACTTAATACCCTTGCAGTTCGAGGTAATCCAACCTCCAACTGTCCTAAAATTAACTTATAGGAAAGACCTCATTGGTTGGAGCAGAATCAACCACCACACACACACACGCACACAAACAAACCAAAGACTATGATTTCAAGCAAAGAAAATCAACAGTGAAAACTGAGACGAGTATTGGGGCAAAAATTTTCTCTAAAGAAAATTTCTACAGCAATAGAAAAACTGATAGACGCCTGTTTATAATTTATAATATGGTTATCGTCAGGTCCATGGCTTCCATTCCGATACAACAGAAAAGATCTAGAAGTTCCATGGAAACTGGAAATTACGCAAGCTCTGCAACTATATAGTATATATATACTGCTATAAAGGCTTCACAAACTTCTCTTAAGCTCTCTTCTACTGATAAAAATGAATACTGTAATAGGGGAAAAAAAGGTAGGTGACACCGGTATCTGTGTTGGTTGGAAGTTATAGGTAATGGTGGATGGATTAACTGAGGTGCTCACAAGCTGGCTCGAGCACCACAATAATCCAAATAAAAAATGAATACTGCTACAAAGGCCAATAGTTCACTTGCCTTGCTAGTTCCTACTCTCTTACCCCAAACTATATTTTTCCACAACTGTCCTCTAAACGCATCGTATGATGAAGGCATGAGTTAGAGCTTAAATGGAGAAACATACTCAGTGAGGATTCATATAGCGAACTCCAACTTGTATGGAACAGAGACGTAGTTGTTGAATCCTCTAAACGCCTTCTTGCTGGAAACCTATAACATCCCTATTTTCATGAACATCCATAACTCATAATGCTTGAACATTTTACATTCTTCGTATTCATGTTAATGGAATGAATGCTTTTCATGATTGAACTAAGCCAGTTTGCTTGTTGGAGCTAAATTATGTGCAAACTAAACTCTAATGGTCCCTGTTAAATGGTGGAAACTAAATAGACGGCTTGACCTTTTCGATATTGACATCAAATTCGAATGCAGTCAGGAGTTGATTTTCTAATTTCAGGAGTAATGTACAAAAGTAATTACCAAAACCACCAAATTAAGAACTTCACCATCAAACCAAACAATAAAGCACAAATCTTTATTACCTGAAAATCAATATCAGGAAAGTTCCTAGCAAGAGCACGAGCCATACGTTCAGCAGTTTCATGACCATTAACTCTAGAAACTCTAACAACCCACCATTGAGGACCCAATTTAGCAAGGTTATCAAGATTAAGCTCTTCAGTCCAAGACTTATATTGCTTTTTAGGTTTCTTAATAAGCTTTTCCTCTACTTCTTCTCTCCAATTGTAACCTGTTTTACTCTCTCTTCTCTCATTTCTCATTTGCCTTCTCTCTTTAGCAGTAAGCATATTCTCTTCAGGTGATTCCACGGTTGCATAAACCCTTAAAAGGGTTTTCGGTAAAATGGAGGTTGGTGATAATTTGGGAAGAAATGGAGGAGAATGACTCCATGAAAATATAGCTTGCTTCATCTTCTTCAAGAAAAAGTATGAAAATTTCTTGTGGTGGTTACATGGTAACATATCCAGTTTTAATTCATGGGCCGGGTTAATGGGCTATGGGGTTTACAGCCCAATTCCCACTATTGATTCCTAAAATTTGGGAGATTTGCACAAAGAGGATTATACAAATTTGATGTTTACTATTTGTCCTAGTTTTTTGGGGTAGGATAATGTTTTGAAACATAGCTTATTTAAAATTCATGTTAGGAGGAAGAATGAAAATTTATGTTGTCATAAGTTATATAGGTCGGATCATAACTTTGGTTTAAATTATTCACATGATTATGCGTAAAATTTATTAAAAAAAAATTACTATAAGTTATAATGTGAAATATGAGGAAAGTTGATATTTTTATTAACGGATGGTAATGCAAGGTTAAAAAATTATCAAAGGTCATTTTACATTGAGTAAATTTTAGGTTTAACAAACATAAAAATTATATTTGTATGTTATAGTTATAGTTTTTATAATTGCACATCAAATTTGTATAAATTGCTGGCAGTCTCCTATTTGTATAAATCGCTGACAACCTCTCATTTGTATAAATCATTGGCAGCCTCTTGTTTGTATAAATCGATGGTAACCTCTCAATTCAATTTTATGTGTTTGTATATCTGTATAAAATTTGAATTTGTATACAATGGAATTGAAATAAAACATTTGTATATCAAATCTCTCTCACTCACTTTATAAAACACAAATTATACATTGTAATGTGTATAATTTGTGTTTGTATAAAGCGAAAAAGGCAAAAGAGAACTGGCAGGGGAAGAATATTATTTGTATAATTATAAGTGTATAAGACGAAAATATACGTATTTGTATATACAGTTTTCTCTCGCTTTATACAAACACAAACGCAATTTATACATTTGTGTTTGTATAAAAGTGAGAGAGACGAGTGAGAGTGGCGAGCGAGATTTCTAGGGAGAGAGGCGAATGACAAGTGTTTGCTACGGATTATAATTAAATGAAACTATGGTTATAACATTTAATTTGAATTAATAATTTGCTATTTTATACAATTTTCCCTAAATTATTCACACGGTTATGTCAAATGCGTAAAATTTATATATATTTTTTTGTAAGTTATGACATCTGAAATACGAGGAAAGATGATATTTTAATTAATGGATGGTAATGCAAGGTTAAAAAATTATCAAAGGTCATTTTACAATACTATCAAGGCGAATCAATTTGAAAAAGTAGGACACTCAAATTAATACAAAATAAAACACCTTTTATATATCTATAATACAATATTAACATATTATATATAATATTATATATCGAGTTACATTGCATAATATTTTATGTTGGGCGGTATATTTTCGATTTTCTTTTTGTTTCCTCCTAAAATTTTCGAATACTCCCGCGCATTTTCTCATTTTACACATTCTTCATTATTTTTTTAACCTTTCCCTCCATATTTCTCAGTTCTTACAAATATGCTTATCTTCCCTCCAAAATCTTCTTGCATTTTTCCCTCTGTTTTCTTCTTTCAGATGCAGAAACTGAAAATGAGGAGACAAAGCAAATCGCGAAAAACCGAAAACATCGGTAAAGGAAAGGTTACTCCGGTGCAGATTGCGTTCATCGTCGATCGATACCTCTCCGACAACAGTTTCACTGAAGCTCGAACAACTTTTCGATCCGAAGCTTCGCATCTTCTCGCTAAGTCTCCTGTTAATGAGGTATATATAGGTTAGAATTTTGTTGATTTGTTTTAGTTTAGGATTTCAATTTGTGTATATTAATGTTGTGATGAATTAGGAGTGAGTTAGTATGATGTATGGGTAATGAATTGATGTTATGTTAATTACGGAGATGGATTTAGGATTTGAAATTAGTAGGTGTGAATGTTTTAAATATGTTCGTATTTTTAATTTATTTATTTTTGATAAATTATGAGTGTTTGTAGTGTTTCTAATCAATTCGAGTTAGAATCTAGGGTTTATGTTTATTGAGTGCATCATATAATATGTATGTATATATTAAAGAAAATTAATAAATTTAAAGGGGGCGTTTTGCCATGAAATTTTGTTACTTTCTTTCGGAGTAGAATTTAGGAAGACATGTTTGACTATGAAATTCTTGAAAATTTTGGAATTCAATTGCTTTCACGTTTTTTTTACTTCAAATTACTTTAAAAAATTCAAAAAATAAAATCTGTAATTGGTATTCATTGCCAAACCTGACTTAATCTTTGAATACCATTTTTCACTTTATAAAAAAAAGCTACTTTTTTTGAATACTTGCAATTTTCATGGCCAAATGCCCCCTTAATTCCTTGTTTCTTGAATTAATCCTTGTTTTTTTGTGTGTGTGATAATGAATAGGCGCCAAGGAGTTTATTGAGTTTAGGAGATATGTTGGATGAGTACATAAGTTTGAAAGAGCAGAAAGTGTTTATGGATCAAGAGAAGTGTAGATTGGATCATGAAAAAACACGGGTTCAGAACTTACTAAATGGGATGCAACATGTTATGAATGCTTACAATGCTAGCACGAATCTGACCCTGCCTTCCTCAATTGGTGCTTCTTCTTCAATACCCAAAACAGGTGCTTTGCCAAGTATTGTTAACGGGTCTTCCCCGGTAACCTCAGGTATGCATTCTACCTTTTGTTTAGTTTTTTTTTTTTCTGAATTATTTTCTTAGTTTATATCAATGCTTTTCAGTTTAAGTAGCTTTAAGTTGCTAAATATGTTGGTGTATGTGAAACTATCTTGTTTGGTACATGTCAACCCTGCTTGTATGTTTAAATGAGTTAGATGTATTACTTCAAGTTTATTGTCAACTCCGCTTGTATTTTCTCCTGGATGAAATGATAATCTGTTTTTATATTCTTTGTCCTTGCATGATACACTGGAGTAGCTGCTATCTGAAGGACAGTCTTTCTATCACTTTAAGGAGCAATAGCCAGTTCAATAGCAGATCCCATACTCTTTGAATAAACCAATAAGCTATATTAGCTCAGACACCACTGAAACTATGCTCATGTATTTTGCTCTGCTGAGCTCTTTGACACTGTATTATGTTTCTTGCACTTCCATGAAATGAGTGAGACTTCATGATTCACAACAAATCCTGTCACTGTTATCTTTGTCAATATACATTCTACTTATTCATCTTCCCAATGAGATTGTTTTGGCTCATGTAACAGGATTGACATCCAACTGAAACAACTTCCTATCAAACTTCTTAATACTAATTTGCAGAGGTTGATTTAGGATTTTATAATAGCTGGTCTGGAGTGCTATTACACTCATTACTATATATGATATAGGTTCTGAGTGATATTTCAAAAAAAAAAGAAAATAAGAAGATATATAGAAGTGCATATAACTCCCTAGGAATTTCAATTGCGCTCATATTCATTACTGTAGGAATGTATCTGCAGAAGCTACATTCCTAGATACTAGAGTGAGATTTGATCCTTGCACATTCTCTAATATGTGGAAGCAACAGAGGATCTTGGATCTTAATTCTCTTTCAATAAACCATAATAGGCAAAGAACTTAATATTTTTACATATTCCTCCTGAATTATTCTTGCATTTGTGTGACCACCATTACTTGCATGCAATGGGATGTACAATGTCTATTTTTCTAGACTGCATTTAGCTCCTAACTGAAGACATGCAGCATATAGTTTTGGCCTTAAAGCAACACTATCTTCATCCCTAAAAGGAAAAGCCTCCAAAAGAAAGATTGGATCGTAGAGCTGTCACTGATTGCTCATGATCACATTCAAGAAACAGTACATCATTTGTTCATAGAAAGATAGTGCTGTGTTATGTGTTGGATGTCCTTGTTAACTAGTCTATTGATTTGTGCCAGATTTTGGTTAACTACTTTACTATTTACTTGAAGATTTATACTATACTACTTTTATCAGGTTATTATTCTGCATACACAAGCGGAGCTCTGATGTCAGCATCAATGCCTTCAAACACTGTTCTAGATACCATGAAATTTTCTAGTCCAAATTCTATTCCATCAACCTCAAAAAGAAAAGGCTTCAAAGATGTTTCTGCAGCTCCCATAACTGCCAAGAGATCTCGTAAACACTTGATCACTAACCAGTTGCCACTTAAAGGTAAATCCATTTGAAGTTGGTCTTTTGTCACTTCATGTCAAATGTCCTTATTATTTGACATCATATGATCGTACTTTCCTGCAGATCCTAGTACAGATTCACAACCAATCAGCTGTGTCAAACAAAACAACATTGTGAATAATTCTGCAGTTCAATTATCAGATCCTGCTACTGCATCTAATAAGACACATGTTCAAGGATCTAATGTTGCCAAGTCTTTGTTCAGCCAGCACATTCAGTCCCCTCCAACTAATTCTTCTGGCCCTAAAACACCGCCAAGAGCATCTTCATCCCAAACTGACAAATCTATCTCTCCAGTGGAAGTTTGTTCAACTGCTACTTCCAGCAAAAATATTACACCGTCTCTTGTAACAGCCACGAATCGCACAATCATCTCGTCAGAAACAATTCGAGTGAGCCCTTCCAAACAAATATTTTACTCCATAGAAACAAATCATTGCATTTCAACAACTTCACCAGTAAAGACCAACATGAAGAGGTCTATTAGGCGAGATCAAGTGAAAAGTAGGCTGGATTTTGGTGCCTCAGATAACATCCCATGTAATTCAGAAATGGCAGTTGGCCCAGACATGACTTCGACGTCTGAATCTGAGAAAGAAGGCGATATTTTTGACATAGATTTGCCTAGTTTAGATGCTTTAGGGGTGGGTTTTAATCTTTCTGAACTACTATATGATTTTGACCTTGATGGAGAGGGGATTGATCATTCTTGCCAGCCAACATTTCATTCTTCCCCAGATTCTTTTTCAGGGTACAGTTGCCTGCCTCGTCCAGATTTATTTTTAGTTTCCTTAATCTAATGCAAGTTTAGGCATGGTTTCTGAGTCCCCATTTGATGTTTAATGCACAGGTCACCTGATGAATCAGGAAATGTCGATACTGATGCAAACCAGATGACTTCTCATATTTCTTCGACAGTTACTGAAGTCTTTTCAGAGCAAGGTATGAATTTACTAGGTAAAAGGAGATTCTTGACTATGAATTAGACTGGATTGGTTTCATTGAAATCATTGAAAGAGTTTTGAATTTTTCACTTTGATCATTCAGTTTCAGATTCTCTGACCACTACAAAATCAGTTACCAAATGCATCCAAATTGTAAGCCCAGGTAATTTTTCAACTGTCTATTTTCTCCTTTTCAATTTGCAAAAAGCACAAACTGAAGATACGATTCCACGCCTTCATTTTTGCAGTTAAAAATATCAGAAGCTTGAAGGATTAGAAGAGCTTTGTGCAAGAAATTGATGAATACTTACACAGATGACTACAGTTGACTGGATTTATGCAAATGCAACTGAATTTATCAAATTAGTTTTACATATTAACTGTCCATTCATTAGCAAAAAAGTGTAAGTGCACTGGATTAGGATTTGTTTCCATAGAATTAACAGCTGCAGGCCTAGCCAGAATATTGATTATATATAGCTTATGTCTAAGCATATTAGGAATTTGTATAAATATATTTGACATGACCGCAAATTTGATTATGAGAAATATCTGATTATTGTTATGGTCTGCTATTGAATCATTATTTGACATCCACCTTTGAGTACTTTCTAAGTTGAAGGATGGATTATTTGAACTTGAATGGAACATGGCATGATAACAAAAAATTCAACAGAGAGGATAATTGTTAGTAGTATGATGAATTTTGTCATGGTTTTACTTGTTAAAATGGGCTTCAATATGACAGTTATGCAAAAAAAGAAAAAGTTCGGCATGCTTAGTTACTGCAGCTTCTTGGTCTAAGCTCCTCAGGATTCACCCCTTCTTTTGTAAGTTTTCTAAGTTATACTGTTTTATAGTATGAAGTTAGTACCCTACATGAGTTTCTGGTACTCTGTGTCGGTCTATGTATCCTTTTTATACCTAAACAGAAATAACAAAAAGTGAACAAACACTTAAAGAAAGAGGATGACATATTTTAGATATGGAAAAACCTTTACATTGTTTTATGAATTGAATCACTGCAAAGCTTTGAACCGATAATGACTTTAGCAATTGGTTCCTAGACTTATGAAAATAATTTCTTTCGAGTATTACAAATTCACAGTCTTGTCTTGCTTACAAATTCACAGTCTTGTCTTGATTTCGGAATTAAGACAAGTACTTCTCCAATTTTTCAACTTCTTCTGTGCTTCCAATGTACAATGGAACTCGTTGATGTATCTGAAAAGTAAGAAACACCAAATTAAATGACTGATATATTTGCTTATTGCTTACAGATTTAGCTTAGCTTTGGTTTCTTACCTCAGTTGGTTGGATATCGAGAACTCTTTGGTGACCATCGGATCCTTTACCACCAGCTTGTTCCACAATGAAGCTCATGGGAGCACACTCGTACAAAAGCCTCAACTTTCCATTCTTGCTCTTTTGGTCTCTAGGATAACCATAAATGCCACCATATAGAAGAGTTCTATGGAAGTCACCAACCAAACTACCAATGTACCTTGCAGAGTAAGGCTTGCCACTAGGGCCAGGGTCCTTCAAGTCATCGATATATTTCTTCAACTTGTCATCCCAGAGCTGGTAGTTTCCTTCATTGAATGAATAGATCTTTCCAGACTTTGGTATTTGGACATTTTCTTGAGTCAGAACAAATTCTCCGTACATCGGATCCAAGTTAAAGGAAAAAACGCCATTTCCCAAGGTCAGCACAAATATCACAGAGCTTGAGTACATGCAGTATCCTGCTGTAAGAAGGTTTGTCCCTGGTTGACATACATTCACAATGCACTTCTGCTCTATATTGTCAAGCTGCAATATTGGACAGACATTTGTTGAATCGGTGGTTAAACTATTTATGTATAATGAATGATTTTGGCTTATGCCAAAGCTCACAACCACACCGGAAAAGTTCATGCAGCAGAGGTCCAATTGACTATTGAAAGCATCAAACAGATATAAGAAGCATTGAAGTAAATGATCCTACTTCTCTGTGCATTATGTATCAAAGATGCCACATTGTCACAAGTCAGAACACTACATTAGCTATTTAGAGTTCTATTTTGGAGGCAAAAGGAAGGTAATCTTGTTTGGTAATTACCGTGGAATCATCTCCATGATCAGCGAGGCACTCATCATTTGGGCTGTATATTCCAAAGATAGAACCGGTAGACACAGCAGCATCAATGTTTGATGATCCATCAAGAGGATCAAACACCACAATGTAGTTGCCTGAGTAACTCTCTTCCACTGCCACAGGTACATCCTCTTCTTCTGATGCTATAATCCCAGTCCTTCCACTTGATCTTAGACAATTCGAGAAAACCTGTTCAATCCATCAAACATCAACCTTCAGAAACCAAGATCATTAGTGTATTAATGTTCTACGAATGTCTACGTTATGCACATTAACAATCCATAGATATTTTACACAAGCAGGTTAAACTAACTCTTTACAGTAAGCCTGATATGGTAACCTTAAAAAAAGAAATGAATAAGGACCTTCCATTACCGGTAGTGTAAAAATTCTTCACACCATCAACGTATATAACTTAAATCCAATAGGAGGTAACTTATATACATTGACAGTGAACACAATTCGTACACTATGGGGTCATTTGATAGGTTGTATTAGAGAAAATAACACATGTATTATCTGTAGTATCACTTAATCCTTTGTTTGGTAGGATTTTCAACTTATGTATGATTAACCTATTCAGTATTATAGGGTGTATAACTAATATATAGTAAACCACGATATTAGCGATACAAGAGCTATTAATACATGGATAAGCATGGCTCTAGACAAAACTACCCTTAATACACCAAACCAAACAGTCGATAAGAAATAATGAAAGCATAACTAATACACCTTATTCAGTACTATTCTTATTACATTCTACCAAACGACCCATATGAGTATATTTTCGGATTACTAAGTCCACTTCTTATACACCAATAGTTATATTTAAGTGCTCGGATCGTTAGTATATAGAAGTTAAACTCATCTAAATAACTTCACATGATAAGGGACAGAGTACTACTGTTTCTATTGAGCTATTATAAGAAGAATTGTAACAAACAAACCTCATTAGAGACAACATCAAGTTTCTTCTGATCTTCTCCTTGAATATTGACAGCACCTTGAACTCCAGTAAGGTTAGAAATTCCAGCTCTTTGGACTAAGGAAGCAATCTGTTTACAAGCCATTGAAATACTTGAAATAACTATGGTAAGTTCAGCATCAATCACTCCAGCTTGTTCTTGTCTTAATAGCCAACTTGTTAAAGTTTGCAGCTCATAGCCACTCCTTTTCTTGGTTGCTGTAAAACCTGAAGTTGTCTCTATTGCCATGCACTTTACTCCTCCATTAAATGACCTTCTCTTTGTGCTGTTTTTTGGGCATAAAAATGGAGTCTTTTTGTCTAAGGCAAATAAAAATGGAGTCTTTTTGTCTAGAGCACTTAAATATGAAGTTGTTGCTGTTGCTGTGGCTGCTGATGCTGCCATTGTGATTTTCTTGGAATTCTTGAAATCACTAAAATTTCTCAGTTAGAAGTTCATTGTGTTATATTTATTCCAAAGATTTGTTTTTTGAGGCTCATTGGTAGTTTTCTTGGGGGTAGAGGTGGGGGGGTGGGGTGGGGGTGAGTGGGTGGTCTTTAGAAAGTGTAAGGCTGGTAGAAGATTTGTGTTAAGTGGGTCCCACTTATCCTTCTCCATGGAAATCTTTTCCTTTCATTTGTGGTTATGCTTTGAAAATCTACAAATGACATCATCATGGCTCTCAGGATTTTGAGTATATTCTTATAGAGGAAGTTTCAACAACTTGGAGGTGTTGGTCCATTAAAAGGATTATTGTGACACATTAGTTTGGGCTTTGGAACTTTTATCTTATTATTTGCACACATATACTTGATTTTGGTGTCATTATTTAAGTTATGTCATAAATTTGTATTTTTTTAGCTATAGTATAGGTATTTACTGTTCATAACAAGAGAGAAACACGATCAAGATTGGGAGAGAGAGAAGAGATGCGATCGAGATTTGGAAGAGAGATGTTAAATACAGATTGTATTCGACGAATATAAATTGTACTAACGATTAAAGTTTGATACTAAAAATTGTATCACTTGCATTCATTCACTCTTTTATCACTTGTATTCATTCGCAATACAGAAATACAACATGATACATATTGTATCACTTGTATTCATTCGCGATACAAAAGTATAGAAATACATGATGTACTCAATAAATACATGCTCTCTTATATTACTTTTATTCATTCACAATGCATAAATACAAAAATACAGGCTAATACAGACGATATTCAATACAACAGACTAATATATACATGTTGATACATACTGTATTTACTTGTATTAATTCACTCTTGTATTATTTGTATTACCCGCAATATATAAATACATGTTGTATTTGATACATACCAATTTATACAAATGTTGATACAATCTTTAAAGTGATACAAATATTTTAGTTCATTCTATTTATGATGTTAAATATGCTTTAAAAAGTATTTAATTTGTCAAAAGTCAAAATGCGAGTTCAAAATTTGTTATAAAAGTTGGAAAAAAACCATCAAATATTTAAAATAATCCCCACCAAAGAAATTAAAAAGAAAGTGAACTAATTGAGCTGATGACCAAACATTTGTGTGATTTCTATGTCATAATACATCTTAAATTATGCCTCTCTCTTCCTAAACTCCCTATATATAAACTCAAGAAAATTCTTTATTCAAACTCACCTCACAAACCCAAGAAAACATTTCTTTCTCCATTTTTTTCCAACACAAAAAAAATTTAAAAAAATCAAAATCACAACAAAATAAAAGAGAAAACAACAAGAAGAAATGGCCTCATCAATGAAATCATCTTTGATCCTTTTCTTTACATGTTCCCTTTTCCTCCAGGTCACTTATGCTGTGTATAAAAGTAAGTTATTAATTTGTTTCTTAATTAATCTTTCTGAAAATAATATGTTCAGTTGAATCTCGTCTTAGTTCATGCACATTAATCTTAATGTGCATAAACAAAGAATTCAAAAATTATTGATTTCTTAATTAATCATTATAAACATAGCGTGTTCAGTTAAATTTCATCTTTGTTCATTCACATTTAATATGCATGAACATAGAATTCAGAATTATTGATTTCTTAATAATAATTGTGAAAATATTAAGCTCAATTGAACCGCTCTTGATCAATCCACATTATGCTTATATTCCGCTCTTGATCAATCTCTTTTCATGTACAATTCATATGACATACTTACCTTTTTAGTCCGTCTTAAAAATCTGTCATATTTTTATAATTAAAAATGATTTATCTTTAACATTTCATTTTTAACCTTCCTGAAATGGTTTATAGTCACACAGATTCCAAGACTTCTTTTTTTTTTTCCTCAAAATTTTATGTGTTCAGTTTAACTGTAGTACCGTACATAAACTGAAACAGAACGAGTATCTAATTATTCTCTTTCTTTTTGTAGCTGAGGTGAAATGTGAGAGTTTACCAAATGGTGATTGTGCATTTGCAATTTCATCAACAGGAAAAAGGTGTGTATTAGAAAAAGCAACAACACCAAAAGATGACTTAATAAGTAGTGAGTATGAATGCAAGACATCAGAAGTGATAGTTGAAAACATGAAGGAACACATTGAAACAGATGAATGTATTGAATCTTGTGGTCTTAATAGAAATTTCTTTGGAATTTCTTCTGATGATTTGCTTGAGCCTCAATTTGTCTCCAAATTATGTGCCCCTGCTTGTTATCAAGAATGTCCCAATATTGTTGACCTTTACTTCAACTTGGCTGCTGGTGAAGGTAAATCAAACACATTATTAACTTTGCGATTAAGTGTAGATATATTACTCGTTAAAAAACATGATGCATATGCACTTTTGTTGTCTAATAAATGATGCATATTACAAAACTATGCACAATTTGTTAGACTATGAATATATATCATTTTTTTTATCAAGGTGTCCGTCTTATTTCGAGGTTTTAAATTTATTAATGTGGTGAAATGTGTAGGAGCATACTTGCCAGACCTATGCAACAAGAACAATAAGTTGAAGAGTAGTGGTGCTGCTGAAGATGGTGTTGATGCTCCTGCTCCATCTCCTTCTTCATTCTAAATATTTTTGCACTTTTAAAAATAAAATAAAAATATATATATAAATAATTGTTTTTTTACAAACAATTTTATTGTTGTTTATGAAGATATTGCACTCAATGTTTAATTCTTTGGGTTTGCTGAAATTTTTCTTTGTACCAATTCTTTTGTCACTGAGAATTTAATAAAGATTCTTCTTCTTTTACATGGAATTTGTTGTTTAATTATTCTTGTTTGATTTTTTATTTTTTTTATCAAATGACAATTTCTATGAGAAAATTAAATGGGTGAATATAGATTTTATGGAAATAATATAATTGACTTAACAAGTTTCAAATTAAATCTTAACATTATTACACAACCAAAAAAATGCCATAAGTAATTATGTACATGGCTAGACTTCTCACAACAATATGAAAGATAGAAAGAATAACAAATTAACAATTAATTATGATGATTGAGAGAACCACAATACACATTGTGCATCACATGAAGTTTCTTTTAACAGATAAGGCATAATAGTTTTCTCATTTATGTTGAAATTGTCAGTTACACATTTAAATTATGCGTGAGTTTTATTACTCAATATAACTTATTTTTTCTATATAATTTACACCTCAAAACTATGTGAGGCTCTTATTACCTCCCCCCTCCAAATTATATTTTTTATTATTTAAATACCTGAATTATTTTGATCCAAATTTTGGTGTGGTTTTTTCTGGAGTTTTGATCCAATTTTGATTCAATAACATAATAAAAATAACAACTTACAAGTTTTATACACCAAATAAATGAAAATATCAACTTAACAAGTATGACAACTTCATAAATGTAGAAAATCTGTGCAAAATATCAAGAATAATTTTATAGATATCTCAAAACTAGTGATGTGTCTTCACAGATAGAAAATCAGTGCAAGAGTGCACTTAACTATGCAATACATCATCCTAATAGAGACAACATGTTAGGCACGAAAATCAGTGCAATCTTAATAATTAAGTTTAGGGGGTGATAAAATTCTCGATAGTTCAAGAAGGCAATGTGACTCTTGCATAGTTTAGGGGTGTTAATAATAAAAGAACATTAAGTTCAAGAGGTAATACGATTTTCGTATCATTTAAGTGTGTAACTGACAAATTTGTTATAGTTAGGAAGTTCTTATTCTTATTCCTTCTTTTTTATCACTTTTCACTAATTGAATTTATGAACTACTCCTTCCCGTCTTTATGGGGAAGCGAATGGTGAAAGAATTGAGCCATAATTTTTTTTGGGTAATGATTTAAAAATTCTAGTCTAGGCCAATCTCAGACGGAATCTGAGTGACGTGAGGTCTAGGGCAATCCGGGAATGAAACGAAGGGAGTATGTCCATAGATCAATCAACATGCAATACAACTCACATTACGTATCAACGACTAAGCAAAATCTAACTCAATGTAAATTGTGCCCATATTAATAAGATTTTAGTACTTGTTTTCTATTTGTCACATGTCTCTTAGAGAATAAACACACTCTTTGTACCACCTAAGTACCAACTACCAAGTGATATTTTTATTATATTTTAAAATATTTTAGGACGTTGAGATTTCGCCTATAGTTCAAGTTCACATTCAGAATTAAACTATTAAGCTCCTAATGATTTTTTTTTCTTCAGAAAAAGAGATACTTTTCCATTGGCAAAGAATATAAATTGAATTAAATTAAAGAGAAAAATAATTTCAGTTCATTTTATTTATTTACGATGTAAATGATGCTAAAAAATAATCTATCAAAATTTAGAATGTGAGTTAAAACTTTGACCTTGTAAAAAAATCATCAAATATATTTAAAATAGTCCTCACCAAAGAAAACTTAAAACCGAAAAGTAACTAATTAAGCTAGTGATCAAACATTTGTATGATTTCTATTGGTCATTATACACAAAACAACTCCCTATATAAACATAAGAAATCCCTTCATTCAAACTCATCTCACAAACCTAAAAAAAATAAAAAAAATTCTTTCTCCATTTCTTCTTTCCAACAACAAGAAAAAAATACAAAAAAATAATCAAAATCCCAACTAAACAAAAGAGAAAAAACAAGAAAAATAAATGGGTTCATCAATGAAATCATCTTTGATCCTTTTTTTTACATGTTCCCTTTTCCTCCAAGTCGCTTATGCCGTATATAAAAGTGAGTTATTGATTTCTTAATTAATCGTGAAAATAATATATTCAGTTGTATCTCGTCTTAAATAATTATTGATTTCTTAATCAATATTGTGAAAAAACAGTTTGTTGAATTGAATCTCGTCTTTGTTCATGCACATTCAACGTACTGTGCATGGACATATAATTTAGAATTATTGATTTCTTAATAATAATTCTGAAAATTCTAAACTCAGTTGAATCGCTCTCGATCAATCTCTGGTAATTCACATTATTCTTGTACCCCACTCTCAAAATCTTCCTTCATGCATAATTCATATGACACTTTTTTTTAGTCCGTCTAAAAAAATATCACATTTCTTTAATCAGAAATAACTTAACTTTAGAATTTTAATTTATTATGTTTATTGAAATGATTCATAGCCACATATATTCTAAGATTTGTTTTAGACAACAATTTTTTTTATTTTTTCTTTAACTTGATATGTTCAGTTAATCTTAAACTGTGTCATATAAATTGAAACAACACGATTATCTAATCATTCTCTTTCTTTTTGTAGCTGAGGTGAAATGTGAGAGTTTACCAAATGGTGATTGTGCATTTGCAATTTCATCAACAGGAAAAAGGTGTGTATTAGAAAAAGCAACAACACCAAAAGATGACTTAATAAGTAGTGAGTATGAATGCAAGACATCAGAAGTGATAGTTGAAAACATGAAGGAACACATTGAAACAGATGAATGTATTGAATCTTGTGGTCTTAATAGAAATTTCTTTGGAATTTCTTCTGATGATTTGCTTGAGCCTCAATTTGTCTCCAAATTATGTGCCCCTGCTTGTTATCAAGAATGTCCCAATATTGTTGACCTTTACTTCAACTTGGCTGCTGGTGAAGGTAAATCTAACAACATTACTAACTTTGCGATTCAGTGCAGATATATCACTCGTTAAAAAACATGATGCATATATACTTATGTTGTCTAATAAATAATGCATATTACAAAACTATATTAAATATGCACAATTTGTTAAGACTATGAAAATATATACGCATCATTTTTTTTTTATCGAGGTGTATATAACCGTCTTATTTCGATCTTTTAAATTTGTGGGAGCATACTTGCCAGACTTATGCAACAAGAACAAGAAGTTGCAAAGCAGTGGTGCTGCTGAAGATGGTGTTGATGCTCCTGCTCCATCTCCTTCTATTTTCTAAATTATTTTTGCACCTTATTATAAAAAAAAATTTATGAATAATTTCTTTTTACAAGAAGATATTAATGTTTAATTCTTTGGGTTTGCTGAAATTTTTTTCCTGTGACATTTTTATTTTTTGTACCAATTATTTTTTTAAGTGAAAATTTAATAAAGATTCTCCTTTTTTTTACATGAGATTTATTGTTTAATTATATATCTATGTTTGCTAGTTGAGAAACAAGAATTCAAAGAATTGTCTGTGAACTTTGCAAAATAAAAATAAAGAAAAATCATACTATCAAGATTTTAATGAGACAATAATATAACAATAATAATTATGCGTTATTATCAAATAAATTAAAATCGGTTATACGAATTCTCGTTAGATTATAGGTAAATTTAAGCTTAGCTAATAAAATACTATAATTAATGGGTGGAACGTAACTTACAATTTTTTTGAGAGTATAACGTATTATGTTTTTGTACCATCTCCTTTAGTAATAATTTAAACCAAGTTTAGGGTGAAATTACTTTTAAAAAAAATTGTTTTTCATATTGAGGTATTATTATATATGCATACTGATATTTGATAGTAGATTATAAAGCTTTAATTATTTTTTTTCAAATAAATACATGTTCTAATATAACTTTAATTTAAAATTTACAAATTTAAAAATATTCGAATTTCAAAATTTTAACTCCAAATTTTATGATAAAATGGAAACTTTACATCATTTTTGTAGATCCACTATAATGACGGATATAACTTGATAAATAAAGATACGTGGAAGACTCTAAAAAGAATATCAAAATTAGATAAAATGGTCCACACGACCAATTTTTTTATAAATAGGCTACAATTCCAATACAAGATTCATCAATTAAAATAGCACAAAAACATAAAATGTCAATTTTACCCCTTTGAACAATAAGCACACATATTAACGAAGCGCTGCTTCTTATTCGTTTTTATTAGATAGTAAAAATGAAAAATGCTCGAGATATCAAGCATTTTTCCATATTAATAAAAATAATTTGAGTAGTTTGAAGTAAATAATAAAAATTAAAATTTTGCAATTGAATCGAAGTAAAAAAAGATATTTCCTTTAGTTTTTCATTCGATATTCAGAGTCTAGATTGGAGCTCCGACTAAATTTGAATATCGTATGGCATGATCGATTTGGGGGTGACGTTCCCAACATGATTTTCTCTATACCAAAACTCAAACATGAGACCGTTAATTAAGGATGAAACAATAAACTTTTAGGAATGTGTTGTATGTTTCAAACATAGTTCTTTTTGAAAAATACGGACAATATTTTTGAAGAGTTCGAGCAACGTAGGTGACGAGGGTAAAAATGGTAAAGCAAACAAATTTCGAAGTAAGGAGCTGTCTTCACTCTCTCTATATACCTACCTTCATCTATTTTGCAGTTGCACTTAGGCGGGTACCCAAAACTACACAAAATCAAAATTTTAAAACCAAAAAAAATGGAAAACGATACACCGGAAGTTCAAGAAGTGAGCGTCGCCGTTGATGGTTTTCACGGCGGAGTAATTGGGGATGCCTCCGTCGGCGGCGGTGGTGGTGGTGTTGATGGCGGTGATGAAGAGGAAGTGTTGATGCTAGAGGATGGAAGTGGAAGCAGTGACCAAGTGAGAAAGAAAACGGCAGACCGTGTTAAAGGACCATGGTCACCTGAAGAAGACGCTATACTTAGTCGTTTGGTAAGCAATTTTGGGGCGAGGAATTGGAGTTTGATCGCCCGTGGAATTCCCGGTAGATCGGGGAAATCGTGCCGGTTGCGGTGGTGTAATCAGCTTGACCCTGCCGTTAAACGCAAACCCTTTACCGGTAACTTTCGAAAACCATGTGTGTTTTTTTTGTGCGGCCATTTGGTGAAAAGGGGTTTTATTGAAATTTAGTTTCTATTTGTGATTTGATCCTGCATTGATGTTTACTTTTGAGTAAAGTTTGGATTTTGAATTTGGGGTTGATAAGATCTCGATAGTAAAGTATTGAGTATTGACCATTGTTGAATATCTGTTGAAAATATAGTTTCTACTTGTGATTTTGTAGTTTGTATTGTTTAGCTCAGGTAAAGTTTGGATTTTGAACTTGGTGTCAAGAAAATCTTTGCAGTTAAGGTATTGACCAAAGTTGAATATTTCTGGTGAAATGTAGTTTCTACTTGTGAGTTTGAAGTGTATTTGGATTTTGAACCTGAGGTCAAGAAAATCTTGGCAGTAAGGTATTGACCAAAGTTGAATACTCCCGGTGAAATGTAGTTTCTACTTGTGAATTTGTAGTGCGCGGATGTTTAACTTAAGCAAAGTTTGGATTACCTGTGGTCAAGATTAAAGTCTGGATTTTACCAATCAAATAATGATTAATGTCTGGATTTTCAACCAAAGCAGAAGGTATTTGATCATAGTAAATATTTAGGTGAAATGTAGTTTCCGCTTGTGATATTGAAGTGTATTGATGTTTAGATCCAGCAAAGTCTGGATTTTTAAACTGTCAAAATTTGATTTTGAATTTTCAACTTAAGGTCAACAGAATTCTGAACCGAAGCTATTGACCACACTTGAGAGTTCTGATGATCTTAAGGTTTGGGGAATTACACGGTGATAAAGATTGGATCAGGGCTTGCTAAAGGGCATAGATATACAAATGCATTCAGGTTTAAGTCATGGATCATTCAAGTGAATAGGTGATCTCACGTGTGCCACATACATTTATGACATGTAAAAGAGACCGTTACTTCCATTCTTTTGGACTTGCACTTGTATTTTCATTTGAGCTGAAAATACATCCAGGGGTTTTAGCAGATCTGACCATGCTCGAGCTGTGTTGCTCATACTCTTCCAAAAAGCCTAAAGCCACTGGGTGCGTGTCAGATCCATCAAAGTAGTGCATTTTTGGAGGATACGACACGGGTGCGGCTGCATTTTTGGAGAGTCCTAGCAACATAGCATTCAAGTCCAAATCTTTACCACTGTTCACTGGCCAAGCGACCATGTCACCCCCATTCTCGAGAAGTAGGCAACGGATCGTCAAGAGTAGCTCACCTTTAGGTTGCTTATTGTACCATGAGAGGAAGAGTTTAAATTTGTACTAGTATATAATAGTAGGTCTCTAAATAAGTCTTGAAACTCAAAGTTAGTGAATGATGGAACGGTCTAGGTCTTATAAAAGTTGAAGTATAATACATGACAGTATGGTATAACTCTTGAGTAGAGACAAAAAAGAACGTGGCCATGAATTAAGCCAGTGGTTTTAAAAGTGAAAATTCCAACTGCAAGAAGAAGGCTCCGTACACAGTAGAAGGGAAAGAAGAGTAAGTTTTCTGAAAAAGAGAAACAATACTAGAGAGGCCAATCAAGAAAAGAAAGGAATAGTAGAAGAAGAAGAAGTCAATGAAGAGAAGACTAAAGTATATCTGAAGAGAAATCCTAGTACTGAGATTGCAGAAGGCCCTTGTTTTCAATTAAACCTACCGTTTCTTTTTGTATCGATTTGCGCTTTACTTTATGAAGTGTACACTACTTCGAAGTTGCTTTGCTTCATCCATGAAAGCAAGGACCCCCTCACTTCACATCTCTTTATCGGTCTAAGTGTCCAAACCACACATGTAATATTACAGACTAAAACTGACTACAGATAGGTTGCTGCAAATTAATGAACTAGGTTATGCATAGTAGTGTTGTGCCTTTGATGGCTCTTCTCAGCCTCTTATTACGCTTGACAGCATTCCTTGTTGATACTAATATTCTGTGCAAATTTAACAAATTCTAGATTCTAATTTAACCGAGCTATTCAAATTTTAACTTTTTGTGACTATGGTTTTCAGCAAACTAACTTATCAACAATAATTTTAATGTTTTCTACCTCCGTCCCAGCAAAATGGGACGAAAGAAGTATTTTTGTTTCTTTTGACTCTTTAACTTTAAAGCATAATCTGTGAAACACCAGATTATTTTACAGTTTAGAAGATTATATGTGGGGTTAACTAAAAGCTAATAATACCCACCAAGTACCAACCGAGATACTGGTTATTGACCACTTCTCCTAGGCTAAGTTGGGTTGGGAAGTAAAAAGGGAGTGCACAGGCTACTTTCCTATTTGTTTGAGAATTAAAGGAGGGGAAGCGAAAGTGTTGAGGTTGTATCTTCTCAACAGTGGGGACTTAGGCCCTACCCCTTGATTAACAATTAAACCTCTTTGCATCTAAAAAGGATGGTACCTCTGGTTGGCAGCTAAAGATTCAGCAATTTGAATGATTGAGAGATAGAAGAATTTTGTCAGTTGCTTAAACAATTGAGATCAATTTAATTTGATCTAGGAAGAGATGGATACCATGATTTGGCTGGCAAGTAAAGACAAGAAATTTTCAGTTAAGAATTTGAGGTACTTCTGATAAAGCAGTTAGGTCAGTGGGATACTTCTTGGCATTGGAGGGTGATATGGAAGACGCATGTGTTGGGGGGGGGGGGATGGCAACATGGGGGGTTTACTTAACTCAAAATAACTTGCAGAGGAAAAGGTTTTGACCTATGTAGTAGATGTTACTTGTGTCAAGAAGATCAGGAAACAGTTGAGTACCTATTTCTCTGTTGCAGATTTTCTAGAGAATGTTGGGAGTCATTCCTAGTATATGCCTCAGAAAGTGAAAGGTTGGAAGCAGTAGGTGATACCAAAAGAGATAAAGCATATGTGGAGAACTATTCTATTGTGCATCTTATGGACAATATGGCTGGAGAGGAACAAGGCTTGCTTTGATGGGCAGGGAACTCACTTTTCTAGAATTAGGAATAGATGTTTACAAACTCTGTACTTATGGTGTAAAAGTGGCTCACTAGATAGTTTGAACCAGTAAATTGATTTATTGGGCATGTTAGGAAGAAGAGTATAGTAGGCTTCTTTCTGTTTTTTTTATCTTGTACCATCTTAGTACCATTCAATAAAACCTATACCTTATCACCAAAAGATAAAATAAAGCATCTACTATACATGCAGTGA